ACATCATGTCAGTGTTTGTTGTTATTGTTATTCTGACATTTTCATTCCATTTAGTCATTTATTCAACAACAATTTATTGGAACATCTCCTTTGTGTTAGGCACAAGTAGTAGGTGATAAAAGATTCTCAAGCCCTCAAAGGATCTAATAGTTTAGTGGGCAGAGAATATAACAGGCACACTTCAAAGATACTGTAGGTTTGGTTCTACACAACCAAAGTGTTTACTGCAATCAACTGAGTCAAATGACTTCTTTGGTTTCCTAACACATATACAAGTTATATTTATACTATTCTGTGTCTGTTAAGTGTACAGTAGCATTATGTCTTTAAAAAACAAAGTACATTCCTTATTTGAAAAAAAAATTTATTGCTAAAAAATGCTAATCATCATCTGAACTTTCAGTGAGTTGTAATCTTTTTGCTGGTAGAAGGTCTTTCCTTGATGTTGATGGCTGCTGACTGATCAGGGTGGTGGCTGATGAAGGCTGGGGTGGCTGTGGCATTTTCTTAAAATAAGACAACCGTGAAGTTTGCCTCATCAATGAATGAATTCTCTGTAGTATGTGATTCTGTTTGAAAGTGTTGGTATTTGACCTCTTCCCATGAATGTTCTTAATGACCTCTGGAATCATGAATCCTTTCCAGGAGGTTTTGTTTACTTTGCCCAAAGCCATCAGAGGAATCACTATCTATGGCAGTTACAGCCTTATGAAATGTGAATTAAATAACATTTAATTTAATTTATATTGTAAATTCTGTAATTTATAAATTATGGAATTTATTTATTTTTAAGATTTTTAACTATTCATTTGAGAGAGACAAAAACAGAGAGAAGCACAAGCAGGGGGAGAGGCAGGGGGAGAGGAAGAAGCAGACGCTCCACTGAGCTGGGAGACGGACATGGGGCTCAATCCCAGGATCTGGAGATCATGACCTGAGCCAAAGGCAGACAACCAACCATCTGAGCCACCCAGGTGCCCCTAAATGATGGGATTTAATTAATAAATTAGACTTAAGAGTTGAAATGACTCCTTGATTCATGGGCTGCAGGATGGACGCTGTGTTAGCCAGCGTGAGAACATTAACCATCTCCACAGAGCTCTTGGGTGATCGGGTGCACTGTCAATGGCTGTAATACTTTGAAAGGAATCTTTATTTTGAGTAGTAGGTCTCAAAAGTGGGCTTAAAATGTTTAGTAAACCATGTTATAAACAGATGTGTTATCATCCAGGCTTTGCTATTCCCATTTATAGAGCAAAGGGAAAGTAGACCAAGCATAATTCTTAAGGGCCCTAGGACTTTTGGAATGGTCAGTGAGCACTGGCTTCAACTTGAAATCACTAGCTGCATTAGCTTCTAACAAGAGTCAGATTGTCCTTTGAATCTTTGAAGCCAGGCACTGACTTCTCTGTAGCTACAAAAGTCCTAAATGGCATTTCCTTCCAATAGAAGGCTGTTACATCTACATTGAAATTTTATTTTGTTATTTAATGTAGCACTTTCATTAATTCTCTTGGCTAGACCTTCTGTGTAACCTGCTGCAGTTTCTACATCAGTACCTGCTGCTTAACCTCGTACTTTTATGTTATGGAGATGGCTTCTTTCCTTAAAGTCAGCCTCTGCTGGCTCCAAACTTTTCTTCCACAGCTTCCTTACCTCTCTCAGCTTTCAAAGAACTGAAGAGAGTTAAGGCATTGCTCTGGATTAGGCTTTCACTGAAGGGAATGTTGTGGCTGGTTTGATCTTCTGTCCAGAATGTTGAAACTTTCTCCACATCAGCAATTAGGCGGTTTCACTTTCTTTTCATTGGTGTGTCACTGAGGTAGCACTTTGATTTCCTTCAAGAGCTTTTCCTTTGCATTCACAACTTGGCTGGTTTGTGCAGGAGGCTTAGCTCTGGGCCTGTCTTGGCTTTCAACATGCCTTCTGCATAAAGCTTAATTATTTCTAGCTTTTGATTTGAAGTTAGAGATGTGTGACTCCTCCTTTCACCTGAATACTCAGAGGCCATTGTAGGTTTATTAATTGGCCTAATTTCAATATTGTCATGTCTCAGGGGACAGGGAATCCCAAGTAGGGGAAGAGAGACCAGGGACTGGCCAGTCCATGGAGCAATCAACACACATTTATTAAGTTTGTAGTCTTATATGGGCACAGTCCATGGTACAAAAACAAATATCATAGTAACAGCAAAGATCACTGTAACAAATGTGGTAATAATGAAAAAGTTGGAAATATTATCAGAATTACCAAAATGTGACACAAAGTGAGCAAATGCTGTTGGAAAATGGCGCCGATAGACTTGTTGGATACAGTGCTGCCACCAACTTTCATTTGTAAAAAATGCAGTATCTGGGGGCACCTGCCTGGCTCATTCAGTAAAGCATGCAACTCTTGATCTTGGGGTTCTAAGTTTGAGCCCCACATTGCAACTAGAGATTACTTAAAAATAAAATTTAAAAATTCATTATCTGCAAAGCACACTAAAACAAAACACAGCAAAACAAGGTATGCCTATAATGCAAACCAGGACACTGTAATTATACAGAAAGGACAATGCTGTTTTTGCGGGGGTGGGGGGGTAATGCATGGTAGTATAGGCAAAGAAGCACCTGTTTCCTGGGGAAATTTGAACTGGGGCATGAAGGATGAATAGGAGTTGGCCAGTGGGCATCAGTGGTGGGCATTCCAGGCATGTACACAAGCACAGAGGCCTGAAAGAATGGTAGAATTAATGGAATACAACATAAAAGTGGCAGGGTTAGAGGATGGTTGGGAATAGTCATGGAGACACACAGGTAGGGACAGGAAGAAAGGCCTCCTATATCCTACAAAGGTGTAGGAGATAATGAACACCCAAAGTAGGGTACATGTGAGTCCCCAGAGCGAGGGAACCCAGCAGGTGGAGGATGTTGCAAGGAGCAGGAAGGGCCATGGGCATACCTGGTATAAGCAATTACATCTGTTACTAGGAGACTGGAGACCAGCCCAGGCACCACACTGCTCATCTATCCAGCTCCTCTCTGAAAGTTAAATGGTTATTTATGGGCACTTGACATTGCATAATGCAGAGAAACACAACACTCACAGAAACAGGTCATTTCATTGTTTTATTTAGCGTGAAGAGGAGTTGCATTCTGGGTAGTTTTCATCCATCAAAGCTAGGTAGACAAAACCAAACCTTCAAAATGCATACTTTGGTCATGATTTCTTTTTAAAAAGAAAATGTAAATATATAATTTTTTACTAAAATGTCAAATTATTGCTCTGAACATAGATTTTACCTGTTCTTCTCCTTCTATTTTTGTCTTATAGTAATTATCTTTAATTTTTCTAAATCATCTTAAAGGAGCATCTGAAATAAAACTTTAAGATTGGACCCCTAAATGGTCCAAAACACAATGTAACTTTTTTTTTTTTAAAGATTTTATTTATTTATTTAATTGACAGAGAGAGAGAGAGAGATCACAAGTAGGCAAAGAGGCCTGCAGAGAGAGGGGGAAGCAGGCTCCCTGTTGAGCCTGATGCAGGGCTCGATCCCAGGACCCTGAGATCATGACCTGAGCCAAAGGCAGAGGCTTAACCCACTGAGCCACCCAGGCGCCCCTGCTGCATACTATTTTAAATGTGGGAACCTGCATACCACGCCATCCCTGCCTCAAATGGAGCTGGCCAGGAATGGAGGAGTGAGCAGAGTAAACCAACAATCAGGACCCCAGACCGAAGTGTGCTGGGTGAGGAAGGCCAGGGTAGAATGTTGCTGAGGAGAGTCTCAAAACTGGCTTAGGGGTTAGGAAAAGCTTGCTGGTGGAGCTCCTGGGAGGAACGTTGATGAACTGGAGTTGCCACTGGAGTTGCCGGACTGGAGGGTTGTCATTGTATGCAGGAGAATGCACTGGGGATAAAGAGTGTGGCACTTTTGAAAAACTTCCAGTGCTATATCATCTAGGCCATCAGTGGGGGGGTGGGGGGGCATGTGGATCCTCTCCCGGGAGAGGAAACTGGGAGTGGAAGGAGGTCAACAGAAGTTGGCCTGTTAAGGGCTAAGAGTTTGTGTTGTAAACAAGCAGTGGTGAGCTGCTATGGGATATGGGGAGGGGAGTAGTGATCAGATTTCCATTTTTAAACTATCACCCTGAAGTGGCTTGGAAAAGAGGGTCTGGGGGACATGAGACAGGGGAGCTGGAGGAAGAAATATCAGTGATGACATTGCTGTTATCCTCTGCATAAGTTCATTTTGAAGGCCTGCATGGAAAGCAGTAGAAATAGAATGAATGAGTGGATTCCAGAAATGTTCAGATAAAATCAACAGACCCTAAATGACTGATTTGATGTAGGGGAAGAGTCAAATCTGGGTTGAAGAAGTTTGAAAATGTTGAATTGAAGTGCCCGTGGAATAGTCAGTTGGAAATCCAGAGCCACTGGATAACTGAATCTAAATTTCAGGGAAGATTTGGCTGCAGATGTATGTGTGGGAATCATCTGATACAGGTGCTAGCTGAAACCAGGGGTATGGGAGCAGTACCCACATTAGAGGGACTGTGGATGTGGAAAAGGGAGCAGATGGTGGACTGCAAATACCACAGTTGACAGGGTGGTGGAAGGAAACAAACAAAAAACCAGGAAGACCAGAGAGGACTGTGTCATTTAAGCCAAGAGAGGGGGCATTGGTCAGCAGCCTGAATCCCCACAGCTTGGGTGAGATAAAGAGTAAACAAGCTAAAAGCTTTCTGCAACATCAGATCTAAACTTTCGCTAATGCCATCGCACCTACCCCACTTGCTGCCTTATTACTCCCCAACAGCCCCTCTGCTCATGGACCCACAAAAAAGCCACTGCATTCCCTCACTCATATTCACCCCTCTCCCGGAATGCCCTGCTCCTCACCCCTTCACGTGTCTCAGCCCCAGTACGCCCAGAGTATGCTCTGCTCTGGAGACCTGTTTGTATTTCACTCTATTTAACACCCAATTATAAGTGGTCTGGTGATATTGGCTACAGATTCATGAACTTTCAAAATTACCTTGTAGGCTGTTTGAGGTGAGGGGTCTTATTTTTATTCTTCTTTCTTGGCTTTTGTAGTCTGCAGTGTTGTTGAGCTGACAGTCTTTGCTCTGGAAGAGCTCTGTTGTTGATCAAAATATGATGAGCTTAGCCAGTTCATGAGAATTCTTCAGGAAGATTTCATTTTGACTGTCTCAGCAGAGGAGCTGGAGATAACCCTGTGCACAAGAGATCATTCAAAGGTAATATCTTGGTTGGCTGATGATGACATCATCAAGGAGAAGTCCATGGGGACACGAGGGGGAGACCCTTACTCAGGGCCAGCACCAGGAAGGATGGAGGTGTGTGCCTGCACTAACATCATGAGGCCAATATGTGGTTTCTTCCCAGATAGGCTCTCAGACTTTACAGCTGGCCCTTTGAAGCCTATTTCTAGAAGCACAACACACTCTGGCTCAGTGAAAGTAGTGCTGTCTATGGGGGTAGCCACTGGACGGGGGCTTCTGAAGTTAATGATGATAAAACAAAAAAAATCTACCCTCCATTGCTGTGGCTGTGGTGGCTGTTCTCAGATGAAGGGAGAATTTTATGGCTGGGGAAGGGGTAGTTGCTGAGCACAGGACAAAGAAATAATTCCCTCTCTTTCTGATCATTATTTTAGAATTTTTCATGACCCTGCACTTCCAAAGAGGACTTTAGATCCTTTCACCCATAGATAGATGACCTAGATCTTTATAGCATCCTCACTGCTGACAGAGATAAGAGATCATATCTTGAGTCGGAGGCCAATGGGCTGGTGTCCCTGCAGCAACCAGGTCTCCTCTGTTGGGCTGCACACTCCAGAGGATGGAGTTATTAAGGAGACCCTGAGGCTGGTGTGGCAGCATTTTAAAGATCCTTGGGAAAGAAAGCTTCATTTGCAGGAGGAATAATAATTCTGCCAATATATTTTTCCTGTGCATCCTTTCCTTTGAAGCTAAAGTTAAAACCCTTATATCTTGTACTTCTCTGCTTCTTAGTTCTATAAACCTCTCCTAGTTTATTTTCCATAAGTATGAGAGAAGTAGAAATAATTTTCTGAAAAGGACTTGTCAACCTAAAGCCATGAATTGAGGTTGGTGATAAGAAGACTGGAAGAATGCTTGGGGTAAGAGCCCTGCACACAGGGTTTTCTGGAAACTGACAATAAAGCAGCATCATGATCTGTCCTTTCTCCCTCAGAAGAGACAGATGCCAGTTGATTCCCAGGTCTGCATTGTGCTTGGTTCGAACTATTAGACAACCAAAACCCAAGTTTTCAGTCCTTAGAAATTCATTTGTATTATTGCCCTAGACACCGTATTTTGTGGAGACAAACATAAGCAAAAATGGTGCAGTCATGTGTTATTTAACTTTGGATGTGGACTTGTCTCCAGTTGGTTTGGGTGCCCAGAGATGATGGAAACACCCTTAGATGGCAATGCTTGGTGGGGCCTACCTGGGAGCATCTTTAGGGATTCCTTCCTCTGCAGCTCATATCCCCAGTGACTCACCTCTTTTACTCCCAAGGACAAAATCACACCAATATTTCTATCTGATTTCCCTCTCCACTTCACAAGAGATGGCAGAAGCCTATATCTAAAGAATAGCACTCTTTAATTCCGCAGAGCTCCAACAAAGCCCAGCTCCCCCGAGGCCACATGCTTCTCAGCCAGTAGCCACAGGACAACTTGAAACATTATCCAGTGTCCCAGGCCCAGTCATGCAGTGGGTTCACTTGATTCTGGGGCCAGCCTACTCCACCTGTTCCCACCTTCCCGCCCCTTTCCCTCAGCCCTGATGTCCTCTGTCAGCAATAGCCACAGGAGGTCAGTTGGAGGAGTCTTCATCCAGAACTTAACTCCCAGTTCTTGGATCCCCCTGCTGGCCAACAGCAGAAGCACGGCTTAGCTTTTTTTGTTTGTTTGTTTTAATGAATTAAGGTATTCTGATGACTGTTTTCTTTCTCTCTCAGTCACCCTCTTTTTGTCCTTCTGACTCCATAATTCTTAATAAGCATTTAACCACCACAACCACTGATACAGTATGTAGAATTACTACTCTCATTTTACAGATGAAGAAATTGAAGCCTAGATAGCTCTATCTAGTCCAAGGTTACCCAGCAGATGGCCCCAAACCAAGGACTGAATCCAGGTCTCCTTGGACTTTTTTATTTTTTATTATTATTTTTTTTCTTTTTACATTTTATTAATTTGCATGCCCTGCATTTTAGACCTGGTATTTTTTTCCTTTTCAATATTGATTAAGAAATGTGAGTAGGAAGATTAAATTTTCCTCACTAAAATTAGTAGTGCCTTGAGCAGCACTTGGTGTATCTCTCCCAGCAGAAGGGCTCTGAAGCAAGGGGGCCATTTAGATAAATTGATCAAGTTTTAAACTTCTCTGAAGAAAAGAGGCTGGGAAATATGAAGTAGAGAAGGTAGCTGTATATATGCTGAAAATCCATTTCCAATCCAGTTTCCAATCCATTTACCCAAAAAAATTCACATGAAATTTTGCAGCTATTTTGTGAAATGTTTTATGAGACAATTGCCATGTTCATCTGGCTCATCTGTCATGTAAAAATTCCAAGTGTAGAGTAAATAAGCATTTTTGAGGTCTGAAATTCATTAAGTACAGATTTAGTTACCCAGGAAAGGCAAATCCAAAGCTACTTACTTTCCAGAGCATAATTTAAAAAGAAAAGAGAAACACCCCTCCCAATCTTTACAATTAGATTTTACGTTAAATTTAGGTCACATGCTAATTTTCTTTAACTGTTAAATTATTTCCCAGAATCTGTACTTGTCTTTATCAACCAAATTCACGACTCTCATTCGCCTGTCTTTACACTGAAGTTCAAGTTAACTATTGCTTATCTCAGAATTTCAAGTTACTGGCGAACTTAGTGGATATCTTAAGATGAGGTGCTTAAGAAGTGTAGGCTGTGGTTAGCACCATAAATATTTATAATTTTGTAGTATCTCATACTATTAGAGCGTGTGTGATGACTACATTGTAATAGCATCTAGGAATCCTCAAAGCCCCTGAAGGCACCCTTACTTATCTTGTGGCTGCCATTACAACAGGCTGGCTAACAGCCCCATCCTACTAGATGGGACTTGGCTTCACACCGCAGTGGGTAGCAGAGACAAAACCAGAACTTTCGGCTGGGAGGGGATCTTGGTATAACTCCACTGGGTACAGATGCAACAAAAATGAGGCTCAGAGAAGCCGCACGCGGCTCCCGCGCTCCCTGCGGCTTTAGAAGCACTAAGCAGCCCCACAGCCCTTGCTGCCACCGCAGCTCCATGCGCCTGCCCGCCCCCCTTGCCGGTGTGCCCCACTTGCCGGTGTGCCGATTCTCCTGTGTTCTCCTCAGGTCCCGTCGGCCGCGCCGGCAGCCATGACGACCGCCATCTTGGAGCGACTGAGCACGCTGTCGGTGAGCGGGCAGCAGCTGCGCCGCCTGCCCAAGCTCCTGGAGGACGGCCTTCCCAAGATGCCCTGCACCGTCCCCGAGACCGACGTGCCCCAGCTCTTCCGGGAGCCCTACATCCGCACGGGCTACCGCCCCACGGGCCACGAGTGGCGCTACTACTTCTTCAGCCTCTTTCAGAAGCACAACGAGGTGGTCAACGTGTGGACCCACTTGTTGGCCGCCCTGGCCGTGCTCCTGCGATTCTGGGCTTTCGCCGAGGCCGAGGCCTTGCCGTGGGCCTCCACGCGCTCGCTGCCCCTGCTCCTTTTCATCCTGTCGTCCATCACTTACCTCACGTGCAGCCTGCTGGCCCACCTGCTGCAGTCCAAGTCGGAGCTCTCGCACTACACCTTCTACTTCGTGGACTACGTGGGCGTGAGCGTCTACCAGTACGGCAGCGCCTTGGCCCACTTCTTCTACAGCTCTGACCAGGCATGGTACGAGCTCTTCTGGCTCTTCTTCTTGCCCGCAGCTGCCTTCTGTGGCTGGCTGTCTTGCGCCGGCTGTTGCTATGCCAAGTACCGCTACCGCAGGCCTTACCCGGTCATGAGGAAGCTCTGTCAAGTGGTGCCGGCGGGGCTGGCCTTCGTCCTAGACATCAGCCCGGTGGCCCACCGTGTGGCCCTGTGCCACCTGGCTGGCTGCCAGGAGCAGGCGGCCTGGTACCACACGCTCCAGATCCTCTTCTTCCTGGTCAGCGCCTACTTCTTCTCCTGCCCGGTTCCTGAGAAGTACTTTCCGGGTTCATGTGACATCGTGGGCCATGGGCATCAGATCTTCCATGCCTTTCTGTCTGTCTGCACGCTCTCCCAGCTGGAGGCCATCCTTCTGGACTACCAGGAGCGGCAGGAGATCTTTCTGCAGCGCCATGGCCCCCTGTCTGTCTACATGGCCTGCCTTTCTTTCTTCTTCTTGGCGGCCTGCAGCGCTGCCACCGCAGCGCTCCTGAGACACAAAGTCAAGGCGAGACTGACAAAGAAAGATTCCTGAGGCTGGCAGGTGGGGTGAGGTGTAGAGGCAGCCTGCCGTGATTTGGGGAAAGCTCAGTACAACAATAGGATTTGACTTTTTGTTTTTAAGAGTTGCTTTTAAATTAACACATATTTACAAGGGTATGCTATGGCATTGGAAAGCCAAAGGAGTCAAGAATTTTGTTGTTAAAAGTTGTTGCTAATAAAAGGAGTATTACTTTTCCCTCTGTGTCACAGCCTTACGAGATACAGGAAAGGAAGGGACTTTGGCTAGGATTCGTGGGACACTGAATTAAGGACGATCTTTCTGCCTGAAAATTTAGTGGAATTTTGACTTTGGCCTCTAGGCCAAGTCCTGGAGCTAAAGGGATTATAAAGTTGGACTGGAAAGTAAGTATGTGGCTGGTCCACACCGTATTGGAATGGCCATCCTACCATACTGGTCTTTGGTAATTGAGTAAACTGACCCAAGAACTTGATTTCATTTGGATTTCAGATTGTCCAGGGTGGAGAAGTCAGAAACTTCAAGATGATTCAGTGAAACCCTTAGACATAATGAATTACTTGGTTCATCTGAGTTCTGGTCCCTCCTCTCTTGCCCAATTTGACACTGACCCTTTTCTCAGGATGACGTCTGCCTAGCTGTTTTCTCTACAGTGTACTCCCGTCTGTACTTTGCATGGTTAAATAGAGGACTATGAAGCAGTCATATTTCCAGGAAATGCTTGGATCCATGTGGACATTCAGGAAGCTTATTTTCATATACTACTAAACGGTACTAGAAAGTACAGTGCCAAGAGCCATCAGAAGGCCCAGCCAACAAGCATGGATACTGTTTTGTGTGTCATGAGACCCTTCTGTTTTATACCTGTGGACTGTAATACTTGAGATCTATCAGGGCTATTTTACAGGCCAGAAAATCTGGGGCTTGTGCTAGGAAATCTTCTCCAGATTTGGACCAACATGTTTAAAGAAACAAAACAAACAAAACCCTGAATAGAATGAATTGGTTCTGGTTCTTCTAGAGATCTGATTATTTCAAGAGGAACCCAAGGTGCAGATTCTTAATTAGATGCTGCCATTTAAAGGACCCGCATATCTTCCCTAGTTCAGGGTCTTTAGGCAGGAGGTTATGCCTCAACTTAGAGAAGGATCCTTAAAATAATCAAGCCCCAGGACAGATGAACATGTGTGATCACTGTGGCTTGGTCCCTGAAGACTCCTATGGGTAAGAATGGTGAACCAGGTACCCTGTAGCTAGAATTTTCTGTTGTCCAGCAGCTCCTGTGGGATAGGGGGTACTTGTGATTGATGTGTTCTGGCCACACAACCCTCTCTGAGGACTGATTTATGTATTAATCCAGTGAAGGGGGCTGTGTTGATGGAGGAGCTATGGGAGTCTTCTCAAAGGCTATGTTTCCTATCAGTATAAGGTCCCTTTTACTACAAAGGGAAGTACTTTGTTTTCACTCCAGTTTGATGAAACTCTTCTATTAATAGGTTATTTTGTCTTCAGGTCTTTGTTTTCTTCCTTTCTCTGAGCAGTTTGTGGATTTTGTGCCTTACAAATGGAAACATATGAACAGTTTACTTAATACATGGCCATGCGCAATTTTCAGTTTTGGGTTATTGGGATAAGAAAAAAAGAATGCATTGCTTTGAACCAGTGGGTGAAAGAAGAGTCAGAAAACCAGAATTACTTATAAATCAAAAGGCACTGTCAAACGAAAAAAAAAAAAAAAAGACACTGTCAGTCTGCATTTTGGCAAAACAAAACAAACAAAACACAACCTCAACTGAAGTTTTCCTATAATCTTCATATCAAGAAAGCGTATGTCTTGTCTGCTACATGGATTTCCTAGATGGCTTTCTCTGTTAATCCTTAAATACCTGAACTTCTGTGCTACCCAAGTGTCTTACATAAGCTTCTGGGGTGCAAGCCAAATTCATCACAAATAAAGCTGACAAAACTGAAGCCAGTTGAACCAAACAAGGTGATGGGGGAATTATACAAACACATCGCAAGAAGAGGGTCAGTTTAAAATGTTTGAAATGTTCATTTTTATGGAGTCAAAGATCGTATTCTTCTAAAAGTTAGGAGGAAAGTGTAAGTCAGGCTCTTGAATATGTCCTGGTGGACAGAGATCTTCAGGCCAAATGCAGATAAATTTTAAGAAAATAGGAAATAGGACAGCAACAGTGATCTTCAAATGCAGTCAACAGACCAAGGTAAGCTGACACACTCTAAGCGGTCTATGACAAGTTCAGATAGATTAAGCTCTTTAAGATATTGCCACAAAATTATTACTTTAATTTACACAGGTATTGGTCCCTCAAGTGGTAGGAAATTTTTTTAAAAATAAAGTTTTTCACCAGAGGTAATTGAGAGCATTGGGGACTAGATACCTCATTAAAATACCAGTATCATAAAAACAAACAGATGAGATAATCAATGTCTTATTAGAAATATATAAACATAAGAAATGCAAATGTTTTAAGTTACTCAGACTTTTGAGGCACTAAATACTCCTTTTAGAACATTTTCATTAAAATGAGTGTATCAGCCAGGAACAGATCTAGTTTACTTAAAAGAAATGATTAAGTATTTGATAAAGGAGATGATTGTTTTCTTCCAACATAGCCTCCCCAACAGCTGACATCTGGAAATTCTGCCGCTTCTCTCTCTCTGTTAAAATATAAATGCTTCTGGGAAACCTAAACTATCAGTCATTTACATCTTGTGAATAAAAATTCTGATGGATTTGTATGAGGCCCTACTCAGGGTAAGGAAATGGGGCATCAGGACGCAGCTGACTGGGGACACATTTGCCTATTTCCCTCTTGTCTAGTACTTTCTGACTTACATTTACTAATGAGCTAACGTCAGTACTCAGATGTTAAAAGTTTCATTTCTCACCTCTGCTAAGAGCACTTCAGTAAATAATAACACTCTGAATCCTCCTTTGGAAGCTTGAAATAGTAGGAGCTCAGGTTGTGGAATGAAGGTAGCTCATTCCTGACTCCTATCCACAAATGGTACTTTAATACTTAACAGGTTCTTCAGATGTTACACTGTAGTTTCAAGTGGACCCTCCAGATGGCGCTCATGTCTTAGCGTGGCTATTGTATCCAAGTCTTTGGGCTGTTGATTGTATTGGTCCTAGTGTTTTGCTTGATAGCTTGGCAAAGAAAAAATGGAACTATTTTCTGTTTATATAAGTCTACTTACACGAATGACCATTAAACAGATTTTGTATATATGGATTGTTGTGCTGTCAGCAACTATCTTGTTTCTTTGACAAGGCCCCCTTGTCGAAGAAGGTCTTCGTAAACAGGGTCTTTTCATAGTTCGAAAGAAAAACAAACAGCTTGCTTTCTTAAGTTGGTTGGCTAAAGATCTCTACCTTAAAGAAAGGCTTTATCTAGACAAACATTAACAGAAGGAGGAGGTCAGGACATTTTATATCCACCTAGAAGTAGGGAAATACAAAAACCTTAAAAATCTCCATACCCGAGCCCCCCAAATACACACACACACCCTAAATCCCCACTTGTGGAAAGATCATATTGCCACCTCCCCCCAAAGGTTATGGAGTTGATTTCTCTGAGGATATCCATCTAATTGAATAAAGTACTTCTAGTTTCATGGAAAATAGTGTTAAATGTTTTCAAAATTTTGAATCAATGGACTACATTTTTAAAATATAAAAATTATGAATTATAATTGTACTGTAACAGCTACTATAATGAATGTGTTATACAATGTGGCACGTATACCAACTGTTATATTTAGTAGCTGTGGAAAAAAAAGTCATTCTCCAGACTACTCCAGCTTCAAGCCATAGTACTATCACAACAGGGAGAAAATAGCATTTGTCTGGCTTGAGGCACCGCTGAGAGAATTATGAATATCTCTCTTGCGCTGACCCTTTTCCGTGACCCTTGGGGGCCTTAGGCAGTTTGCAAATGCTTCTGTTGTCACTGTTAATAGTTTAACTGCTCTTCAGTTACTGATTCATTAAGTATTATGAGCACCTCTTGGTGCCAGTACCCGTGTTGGCTCTGGAGATACCACAGTGAGGAAAAGAATGCTGGGATCCTGAGAGTTTTCAAACTGCTAACTGAGACCCAGCATCTTCCCACATTGGGCCATCACAGGATCTCCCACTATGTCTCAGTACTAGTCTGAGGGCCAGATGGCCAGCCAAACCCAGGGGAATCTGGGACTTGTTCTGTACCAGAACATTGTTTAAAGGATTGAGGTCTCTCCCTTTGCCCCCCAGAGACTAAAAATATCTTCCACCAGCAATGCTGTGTCACCCGTGATCACCTCAACCCTTCTTGTTATTCCTGTTGCTTTTCTAGCCCTTAACACTGTCCTCTAGTGTTTAATGCAGTCTCAGACCCAGTTGGCTCATCTGGGCACAGAGAAGCCCTGTATTTCCACAGGCAGTAGTTAAAGTCCTAGGTAATTAAAGCCCCATCTGTCAGGGAATGTAAGGTTCCAACATGAGTACAAGTTCTTGATTTAGTAAATCAGAAACAACATGTTACACTCTATCTGCCTCCTTAAAAAAAAATAATAATCATCTTATCCCTTAAGGAACTTTTATTAAAATAATATGGAAGGGAAAACTGCGATAAAAGGAAGATTGATTTAAATATTAATTTTAAGAGCATATCTGTCTAAGTTAAAGGAAGATGTATGCATTGTGTTTTAGATTACAAGAGGCCTTGACCAACTCAAAGGCTACAGATTAACACCTCAGATCTTTTCATGCATTATGCTTTCGAAAACATTTCCACATCCATTCAAGCTTCCAAATATTCATGTGAAGTAAGGCCAAAAAGATCTCCACTAAACTAGGAAACATAGTGAGAAAGTGGAATGATTGGTTCAAAGTCACATAACTCATTATAATGTTTAAACTCAAATGCATTATTCCTTCAGATAAATCCAAGGCTCAGCTAATCAGAAACGTCAACACCCAAATGTTTGCAGAGCCCATTACAGTGTATGAAGCACTTTTAACTATTGTGCATACTTCAACCTAATCTCATTTCCGCTTTTGTTCCTAAATACCTCACGAATAGTGAGGGTTGTATTGTTTCTTTGCAGGTTAAAGTGACTTACTTCACACTGAGTGCTTGGATGCCAAATAAAGCAATCCTGCACCTCACAGTTTTCTCAGAGCCCAAAAGGTCATTGGTGACAGGTATCTGGTGGCCTAGAGTATAACATCAAATCTCACTCTCCAGTCACAGATTCTTGAAAATACCTTGATTCCTTGAGTAAGAAATTAATCTAGTATTAATAATCTTCCCAAGGTTATGCAAACCCTCCCTCTCATTTTTCACTAGAGATTGTCAGTTCTTCAAACAATCTGTTCTCCCAGGGATTCCGACAAGTGGTATGACTTTGAATATGGGATTTAAAAAAAATTCTTCTCTGCCTTATAAAAGAGTTATCCAGACTTAGCAGCAAGTTCCCCCAAAGTCCTTATTTATCATTTTCAAGTAATAGGTGCTTATTAAAGAAAATGCAGAAAAATAGGGGAAATGTCCATGGGCCCATCACAAATAAATCTCTCCAGGCAAAAAATAAGGCTATGGTGAAATGTCATCAGTAATAGGTAAATGAGCAGTGTCACATAAAAGCTTCTTTAAACAACAACAACAAATTGGGAACTAGAAATTTTAAGCAACCGAATACTTTCATTCTCTAACATACAAAATCAACAGTTTCTGGCTCAATTTACGGGAATACCAAGATAGTTGTATCACACTCCCTTCTGACATTATGCTCTGTCGATAATTTGGTGATGCCGTGTCTGAGATATTGGCTCCTGAGACAAAGCCGATGATACGTTATCTTGTGCTGAAAGAATTCTTTGAAATGCCTCTCTTGAATCAAGCCATCGTCTGAGAGTGCTGTGCTAGAAAGACCTTCACTGGAGCGGAGGCCTCACCTTTAGAACTGGTGAGTATACTTACTCACTGACAGCTGCTCCACAAACACTGAGCACCACTCGGTGCCAAGCCCTGTTCTAGGCACCAGGAATACAGCAAGGGACAATCCTTGCCTTTGGGGATTTTACATTCAGGGGTTGGAGGCAGGAGTAAGACAGACAGTGAACCGAATAAGTAAGTTAAACAGAATGTTAGAAGGTGATGGTGCCAAGGAGAGATAGAAAGCAAGGAAGAATAGGCCAGAGGGTCGGGGTGTGTGTGCAGTTTTAAACAGGATCAGTGAAGATCCAGAAACAGGTGAGGGAGTTGGCTCTGCTTCTCTCCCAGGCAGAGGGAGGAAGTGCAAGGGCCCTGAGGCCAGAGCACACTAAGAATAGCAGGTGGCCAGTGTGAACCGAGAGAGGTAGGGCAGTAGGAGATGCAGACAAAGTGTTAAGGGCCTTGTAAACACTTTGGCTCTTACTGTGACTTCAGGACAGTGTATGATGGGAAAGAATTGTTTGAGAAAATTCAGGGTCGTTGTTTGCCTGCATGGACACATTACCTTGCCCATAGAAAATAGAGTAAATCTTATTCCCCTTAGTCTACACGAAACCAGGTTATCATTAAGTGATTCCATCTGTGGAATCCCATGGACACTCTGGTGCCTGCAGGATTCTTCCCAGACTCTTTATAGCATTTTATTAAGTGCTCAGAAGGCAGACTTCCACTTCCCAGATATGCTTTGAATGTTTTCCGGTTCTGTCGACACTGGT